CCTAGCTATAATATTTGTTTTCTCTAGTTTTGTCTGTTGCTAGACACCGGGGACTTTCTGCCCACTGACATTCTGTACCTGGCCTATTATCCCTGCTCTGCTCATGCCTGTCTAACTACCTACTCTATAAAATGCTCACCCACATTTAGTTCTTCTTTGCTGTAAGATTATCATTTTCTGCTCGAACTGAGCTGTCAAATAGAAAATATTTTCATTAAAATAGAGTGAGTCTTGTAGGCATTTCTCTCCTAATAGAATCTGCTACCTTAATTTATTTTATAATTTTCTTAATGAACCCATCTTTCTTAAGCAAGAATCTTAGACAAATAAGTTGATTTAAACTCAAGATTCACAACAGATGATAATTGATTTGCTCCACGGGGAATTACTTTGCATCCATCATAGATATCTCACTAATTCAGAGGTTCAGACAGTTGGCAATGCCATGTACAAGTAATTTCTGTTGACTGAGGATGGAGACATAATATGGCTGCATAATGTGGCACTGCCTTGAAATTTAATTTAAAGAGAAAAAGAATGAAGCCAACAAAAACCAAAATTCTCACTATAAAAGGTAACTACATAGCTCAGCCTGCATGGCTCAGTGGTTGAGCATCAACCTATGAACCAGGAGGTCACAGTTCAATTACTGGTCTCAATTCTCAGTGTGGGATGTGCAGGAAATAGCCAATCAATGTTTCTCTCTCATCATTGATGTTTCTAACTCTCCCTCTCCTTTCCTCTCTAAAATAAATAAAAATATGTATAAAGAAGAATCAATGTAAGAATAAAAAGGAAAAATATGAATAAAGAAGAACCTATGAAGAATAAAAAGGAAGTTGTTTAAAATAAAAGTCTGTGGTCCTCAATGCAAGAACAAGGAGTGAAATTATGAGGCTGTTAAATATTAAGGCCTGGAAATCCATGATTTTCTGAATATTATACCTCAGACCATAGTAGTATAAGTCTACCTGTTTTGCAAACACATATATTTGCAGAAGTTATGATTGCTATCAAATGAGAAACAGACTGAAGTAATGTAACTCAGTGCATAGAATATTACTGAGCCTGACTATACTGTGCAACTCTGTCCTATAATACTTGAGTCCTACATAATTTCAAGCTCAATTTTTTTTTAAATCTCTTTGTTGCCAGGACTGACCAGTAGACCATGAGCGATGGATGAATAGATTACTCTGACATACATTTCTGTGAAAGAGAAGGCTAAGGGGCTGTTTGGCATAAAGAGCCAAAACGGCCTTGATTGCCTGCTTTGTTAGGCTTTTATTGTAACAACAGCTTGAATTAAAATTAACCTCTAGATAAAATCAGCAGTGTAAGTATCCTTGAGAAAGCTCATGTTTCCGCAAGGTCGAGTTTGAAGACTAAACATAGAGATTCCAACAAAACACCGGGGAGCTTCGACTTGCTTAGAAAAGTCAAGGCAGGGGCTACTGCCTTCGGCAATACCCCCGAAAAGACCCTCCGAACCTTTGGGATAATCCTCCTTACAGACTTTCCAACCAAGTTCTGTGCTTCCCCACATTTCCTCCCTTTTTGTTTTTCTGGCTGCAGAGGACAGAGGGAGGTGGGGAACTTTCTGCTTTAGAATGTCAGGGTCCACAAAGCACATTCACTGCTTGAGTTCTGATTTTGTAGACTATAAGGAAAACAAAGAGAATTAAAAGACAGCAATGGTTAGTCCTATCAGGTACCAATTAATTTTAGGAAACCATGTGGTGGGGTCTATCCACTCCAAATGCTCCTTTACTGTATTCTAGGCAGTAGTCTGGTTTTTATGTTTATTGATAGCAAGTAAGGACTCTCTAATTTGTCTTTGTAACATGTTTACTTCTTTATTAAGGTTAGCATAAAGACTCCTTATAAATGCTATTTAACATCAATCTACTGATAGTGACTACTGTTCCATTTTTTTAAATATATATTTTATTGATTTTTTTACAGAGAGGAAGGGAGAGAGAGAGAGCTAGAAACATCTATGAGAGAGAAACATCAACCAACTGCCTCTTGCACACCCCCTACTGGTGATGTGCCCTCAACCAATGTATATACATGCCCTTGACCGGAATCGAAACTGGGACCTTTCAGTCCACAGACTGACGCTCTACAACTGAGCCAAACTGGCTTCAGCTACTGTTCCATTTTAAAGGGGTGACACATATGTGCTTATGCTCCTGATCACAATTAAGCATTTGCCTGTATGCTATGGTATCCTATCTTGCCCCCAGATATCTGATGGCTGCCTTTATTGCCTGTAGTGCAGCTAATATTTTTTTTTAATCTATTTGTTGTTATATAATGAATTCCCTAGTCACATTATAGACCATATTGTCTACCAATGTGGCTTCTGCACAGACTCAGAAAGGCCCACAACGGCGACATTGGCAGTAGCAAGAATAACAACAGCCAAGATGATGGCTGCAATGAGCATTCCCAAAAATATTTTGTGCAGTAATTGGCTCAATGCTCTTTCTAAGACTTCGATAGCTGATGAGCCTTGCCATTTCCTGATGAGAAAACAGGTATTAGGATTTCTGCTTCTCTCCTAAGTACCATAATAGTGCTGATGTTCAATGAGGTAATATTCTGGGTGGTAATACAAGATGCAATATAAGCTCCTTCTCCAACCTGTACTGGATGAATTATGGTTTATTAGTAGAACGGGGCCCATAGCAAAGACATTGGGTGAGTTGTGAAAATCAGGATATTGTCTGTAAGCTATACTATAGTGGCCAGAGGAGTTCTGGTAGTCACCGTGCCACAATTTCAAAGGGCTGAAAGCATGGCTTAATCTCCATAAAGTTTTCTGAACTGGCAAACCTAGTACTTGAGGTCATGGAGAACTCATCCCTCCCTCAGTCCAAACCTCAGGCATAACCAATATAACTAACATTAGAAACATGGTGAACCAGAATGTCAATGTGGTTAGGTTGAAAATGACCATGTGGGTCACTATCAGTAGATTAATGTGGCCCCAATCTATAACTTGTTGGTCCCTGAGGATAGTCAAATGGGCATGATTTCCTCAACAAGCTTCCCAATGGAATGCCTCAGCAGAGGCATTATTTTGCTTACACGAGGGATGGGAGGCACAGTAGCATTAGTCAGATCACCACAGGCCAGACTGCCTGCTGAGAGAAAGGTTAGCTGGGCTCTAATCAGATCATGTTTAAGAATGATATCTAACCAAATTTGATTAGGAGCTCTCACACAGTACAGAGAGGAATTGGAGGAAGGAGATAGTGCATAGGATAGTAAATTGGAATGAAAAGAGGTATTGCAAGGGACAAGTAGGGAGAGAAATATATAATTTACCAAATTGTTTTGAAAATGCTTCCTTATATCTAAAAAACTATATAACTATTTTTTATTTATTCTGCTCTATAATAAAATTGTTGTTTCTTTTGATTTTTTCTGCTAGCATTTATATAAATTCAGATACCTTATAGAGTAATGCAAATGACATGGAATCTTGTCCCTTCTGTAAAATACAATATTCTACAATATTATAGCTTATAACTATTATTTATAAATAAAAGTGTATTAAATCTATTTAACATGCATATATAAATAGAATATAATTATTATTTCCTTATGTGACAGAGCTTCTCATATACCTTAAGTATCAATATAAAATTTCCTTCATAAGGAGAGAAGGCAAATCTAAAAATTTAAACCCTGGAAAGGTAGTCAAATATATTAGACTAAAAGATTGTGTATTATTATTATTAAACAATATTAAGTAATTTATTAATTTAAAGTAATCAACTCCCAGATTAACATAACATGATTATTTAAGTTTTTTATATATATATAGTCTTTGCTTCTTAGGCACATAGAGGAAAAACCTTCTTTTTCCCCTTACTTTCAGAAATAGGCTTATTTTTCCAATGGAAAATATACTCACATTCTTAAGAAGCATAACAGAGATAACATGACCTTGACGATTCTCAGGAGGCTGGCGAAAGGGTGGGTGTGTATGTGGGAAGATAGCAGGCCCGGAGGTTTGTTCCCAGGACTGCAGTAACTCTAATAGCTTTAGTTGTAAAAGTACTATTTATTTATTTATTTGTTTTATTTATTTACAAAAAAAGAGTACTCCCATACACACACACATACATCTGTTGCTGCTGTTTCTGCATCCTATTCAAGGGTACTTCTGTAGCTCCAACCTTCTAGGATAAATTTTGGGAGAGTTTAAATAATTATTTCCCATATTTTTTTCTTTTTGAATAGACTAAAAATATGAAACCTTGTATATAAGAAGAGATCTTAAAAACAGAGACAACAACAACAACAAAAACCCTGAATGAATACATGTAAAAGGTGGACTGGGACATTAGTCTTAGAATCTTACTTCATACTAACCTAATAGAGTAAAGAACATTAATCAGTAAACAAGTTATATTATAGACAGAAAGAACTTCAACTAACTAAAAGTTTCTAGTGGCTGATGTCTTGAGAGGGAGAGCAGAGAGTGTCTCTAAGATGAAGAACTCTCAGCAGCTGCTGTGAAGTTGCTACTATCCCTGCCCCTGGTTCAGCTTACTACAAGTAGGTGGGGTTCCTAGCAAAGTAAAATAGGCCCTATCTTTAAACAAATTAAACTAGACTACAAAGGCACAAAACAGTAATTAACAGAGACACTCTATGCACAATGTTTATAGGCATGCACAACCTAGACAAAACTTAATAAATCAGAGTCCTTTCCATGGATTTTTCAGAAGATGTCTTAGAGTGCACGGGACTTATAGCTAGAATGCAGCCCAGCGTGCTCCTGGGTGGGATGGCTGGTGAATGCCCACAAACAGCCTGTTGTTCACAGATTCATCATATTCTGCTTTCCATAATAAATGTTGACTAGTGTCCAGAGTTGTTTTGGCCAAAATCTGCCAATCCCAATGAGTCATGTGATAATTTTCAGACAAGGCATTTTCTCTAAAACTTTTCCTTATTTCTTTAAAGATATTAAAGAAGAGCCGAAACCGGTTTGGCTCAGTGGTAGAGCATCGGTCTGTGGATTGAAAGTCCCAAGTTTGATTCTGGTCAGGGGCATTGTACGTTGGTTGCAGGCACATCCCCGGTGGGGGGTGTGCAAGAGGCAGCTGGTCAGTGTTTCTCTCTCATCGACATTTCTAGCTCTCTAGCTCTCTCCCTTCCTCTCTGTAAAAAAATCAATAAAATATATTTTTTTTAAAAAGAAGAAGAGTGGCTCATAAACTCTGTTACCTTATTGATCTTGCATAACTGGGCAAGCCGAAAGTTCTCCTTCTCACATGGCTTGTCTGACACAGGATCCCACAACTGACGATCTAGTTGGTGGACTCTCCCATGCCAGAGTCGGAGGATGGGGAAATATTTCCTCCAGTGGCAGGGCTTTAGGTATTTCAGGCTTTAAAGGCTCAGCTTCAAGAGGAGGGGGCAGTGGTAAATCCTCGTGTTGCTCTGTAGGCTTTTAATTTTCAATATGAAGTAGGCATAATGTAGCTTGAACAAAAACTCACATTGTTAATGATGATAAGGGCACTCGTTTTCCCTGGGCCTCATTTCTCTTTAAATTCCTGCCCACTTGTTCCCAGAGATTAAGACTTAGTGTTCCAGGATCAGAAAACCAAGGATTATAAATTATAATAGATTTTAATAAGCATTTTGGTTGTTCTTCTGTAACAGAGGCACCACCTGCTTTTAATAACGATTTTAGCACTGTGATATATTTCTGCTGTTCTGTGGATAACTGTTGTTCTGTTATGAAACCTTCGGTGAAAAAGAATTCCCTCGAACTTGGAAATCCAAAGTGGGCTCCAATGACTTACTTCACAGTTAGTAAGTTAGTTAGTTTTGTTTTCTTCCTCTTCTTTATTTAGGATTCCACCACGTTTTCTTGCATTCCTGGTTCTTCACATGGGGCTCCAAATGCTAGGACTGACCAGCAGACCCTGAGTGATGGATGAATAGATTACTCTGACACTCGTTTCTGTGAAAGAGAAGACTAAGGGGCTGTTTGGCATAAAGAGCCAAAATAGCCTTAATTGCCTGCCTCCTTAAGCTTGTATTGTAACAACAGCCTGAACTAAAATTAACCTCTAGATACAATCAGCAGGGTAAGTATCCTTAACCTGTTAACTGAGGAGTTCCCTTTTTAATGACACAATCTGTAATAGGTGTGTACTCTTTCACTAGGACGAGTCAGTACATCACACCAGGAGGACGTAATTTCATATTATTTTTATTTATTTATACTTTATGAAAATAAATGAAAGAAAAAAATATATGTATATTTTATTTATATATATAAAGTACAAAGGAAAACACAAAATTACAAAAAAAATAGAAAAGAATATCGACAAAAAAAGGGACACGTAGAATTAAAAAATTATAAAATTTACAATGATAAAGATTACAAAAAATAGCCAAAACCGATTTGGCACAGTGGATAGAGCATCGGCCTGCGGACTTAAAGGTCCCAGGTTCAATTCCGGTCAAGGGCATGTACCTTGGTTGCCGGCACATCCCCAGTGCGGGGTGTGCAAGAGGTAGCTGATCAATGTTTCTCTCTCATCTCATCGATATTTCTAATTCTCTATCCCTCCCCTTTCCTTCCTCTCTGTAAAAAATCAATAAAATAAAATAAAATAAAAAAGATTATAAAAATCTCTGAAATCAATAAAAATATATTTTTAAGAAGATGTCAAAGCAATCTCCATATATAGTGCAATCTGAATAAAAAATTTAACTCATTTTTAATGGACATGTTCCAAAAGTTACAAAGAAATGCTAAATGCCTAGAATAATCAAAACAATCTTTGTGAAAGAGAAATTCGATTGAAACTGACTTCTCATACCCTACAGCAATCATACAGTGTGGTATTAAAATATAAAGAAGCAAATAGATCAATAGAACAGAACGGTCCACAAATAGAATCACATATAAAAATATCAATTTATTTTCAACAAAAGTCCTAAGATAATTTAATAAGTGATTAAATGCAGTTTCAAAAAGTGAGGCTACCATAACTGGATGCATGTATTCAAAAAATAAAACTTGTACCCTCCAGCATAATATTAAACACGGTAAAGATTTATAAGAAAATGTAGGGTAAAATCTTTAAGATTACCTAGAGGGTAAGCAGAGGTTTCTTAGAGGGGATACACACACATAAATACATTAATGATAAAAGAAAGAATTATAGGTTGGACTCTATTCACTGAGACAAAAGGGCTGCTGGTCCTAGCCAATGGGCTGTGTGGAGCATTGAGAGGGCGGCTGCTCAAGGCCAATGCCAGAGTGGGCAGTGAGGTGTTGGCTGCTTCTATCCAATGGTGTATGTGGAACAGTGAGGGGATGGTAGGTCCTAACCAGTGGGCTGTATGGTGGAGCAAGAAGATGACTGGTCCTGGTCAATGAATTGCTTCTGACCGTGAGGGGGACAAAAGTCCTAAGATAATTTAATAAGTGATTAAATGCAGTTTCAAAAAGTGAGGCAACCACTGGTTTTGGTTACTGGGCTCTGTGGGATAGTGAGAGGGCGCCTGGTCCTGGATTAACGGCTCTGTGGAGCAGTTAGAAGGCTGCTCGTCCTGGCCTAAGGGCTCTGTGGAGCGGTGAGGGGGCGACAGGTCCTGACCAATGGGCTGCATCGGGCTGTGAGGGGGCAGCTGGTTCTGGTCAATGGGCTGAGTGGGGCAGTGAGGGATCTGCTGATTCTGTCCAATGTGCTGTGTGGAGCAGTGAGAGGGCAGCAGGTCCTGACCAATGGGCTGTGTGGAGCAGTGAGGGGTGGCTTGTCCTGGCCAATTGGCTTCTCGAGAAAGTGAGTGGGAGGCTATTCCAGGCCTATGGGCTATGTGGAGCAGTTATGGGGCTGATCGCCTGGCCAATGGGCTGTTCGGGGTAGTGAGGTGGCAGCTGGTCTTGGCCAATGGGCTGTGTGGAGCATTGAGGGGGTAACTGGTCCTGACCAAATGGCTGCACCTGGAAATGAGTGGTTTTCTGGTCCTAGACCATGGGCTGCACATGGCAGTGAGGGGTGGCTGGCCCTGGCCAATGGGCTGTGTGGATTAGTGAGAGAACGACATGCCCTTACTTTATGAAAGAGGATGCATTCAATTAATTGAGTGTGTGTGTTATTTCTAATTAAATGTCTCTGTAATTTTTGAATAAACCTAAAAATTCAAATATCCTACCCTAGAGTTAAGAAAATAATAATGTATGCCTTTCATAATGTTTCCAATACAAAGTGTTTTCATTTTCAACACCCTATTTTGGGATTATTTAATTCAACCAAAAAGAAAAAGATAAGAAAACTGTGATATGTCTGATAACATATTATCTACAGCCTTTGAGCTCTTTGAAAATTATCTATCAAATATCACTACATTATTATTATAGTTAGAATATAAATTTAGAATATAAAGTTAGAATGTAAATTTAAATATAAATTTACAACTTTCTAAAGAGTACAAAGTGAGACATTTGCATGTGCAATTTTGAAGAAAGCAAGATTCAAAAGATTAAATCAAAAGATACATTGTGTTTTATCAAATGTACCCTCTTCATGGAAATAAATGATAGATAATTAGATAAATTAATTTAAAATTTAAGTAGTTCAGATGCTATATATATATATATATATATATATATATATATAAATTAATTTAAAATTTAAGTAGTTCAGATGCTATATATATAATATATATATATCAATATATAATATATATATATTTGGAAATAGTGTTTCTTATGAACTTAACTAAAATGAATTGTTTAACTGAGTTATTTACATTTAGATCAATATTGGAATTTAAACTGGATAGTTTTGTAACAATTTTTTTAAAAGTAAAAATTGGTCATAATAATAAGTCCTTAATTATTCAGCTAATTAACTACCATGCTGAAAATAAAAAGACAATAAAAGTTTAGCATTTTTGCATTGTTGCCTATAAAGCAAAGCAACATTTCCCCACAGTGAAGGCCTCTAATATAAGTAAAAAGGGTTAGTCCTCAAAAATGAACACTGTTTAATTACCACAAGGCACAGAATCCACAGCACAAATTTGAAACATCAAAATGAGAAAAGTAATTAGTCTTTTGGTATAATTAATCTGTCTGCTAAGAATTGGGCTAAATTGTAGTGTAGTCCTTTCTACAATTAAGAAGCCAATGTTAATTATAATGAAACATTATGCTTTCAACTTGTAGACATAGCTCTAAGGACGCTATACCTTTATGTTTACAGTATACCTGGGAAAACACAGGACACATGGAAAAGAAGACTATACTCAGAATTAGACCTACTGCAAATATTCAGAATTGTTTATATTTTTTACAAACTAGATATGGCTTAGGAACCATAGAGTGATTGGTAGGTCTTTCAAAATGTAGGTGTAGTTTATTTCTACTGAACTTTGATTTTAAAAAATTAAGCACAGAGTTACTGAACACCAAAATAGAGCAAAAGACATACAATTTAAAAGTTTTCACAATAAGCTCTTAAGAAAAGGGAATGCTACTAGCTAACAGAAACGGGTCACTTTACCAAATACATACTCATTGTTTTACCAAATGATCAATACAAGAAAAGATTTTTCACTGTATTTACTTTATTTGGTAAAATTAGGTTTCTTTTAAGAATTTATAAATTTTACAACAGTTCATATGTTAATAGCTTTTATAGGTTCAAGCAAAGTTTTCAGTTTGTCTTCATAGTAGCAGTTTAAGAAATGTTCCATTTGTCAAAGCCAAGATCTGTAGGTACATTTAAATTTTCTGTCAAAACACTCGTTGTTCACAAAATCCCATTTTTTTAACCTGTTGACTAAATTCAAGGATCATTTTGTAGAAGTTGCTATTTTGAATCATATTCAATATAATTTGCTGTTTTGTGAGCCATGTAACATGATTGGGATACTTTTTCCAATTTTTCAAACATGATGTCAATCCTAATATTTTATATATACCATTCAGAAGTGAAAATTCACTTGACTTCATTTATTTATTATATA